AGAATTATTTGACCAGGTGGAGGCTGCAGTGAGCCGAGATCACACCACTGCACTCCAGCCTTGGTGACAGAGCTAGACTCCGTTTCAAAAAAAAAACTCAGTGATGCACGCCTGTAATCCCAGCACTTTGGGAGGCCGAGGCGGGCGGATCACCAGGTCAAGAGATCCAAACCATCCTGGCCAACATGGTAAAACCCCGTCTCTACTAAAAATATAAAAATTAGCTGGGCGTGGCATGCGCCTATAGTCCTAGCTACTCGGGCAGCTGAGGCAGGAGAATCGCTTGAACCTGGGAGGTGCAGGTTGCAGTGAGCCGAGATTGTGCCACTGCACTCCAGCCTGGCGACAGAGCGAGACTCTGTCTCAAAAAAATAAAAATAAAATAAAATAAAAAAGAAATCACAAACTGTTCAAATTCCAATCTATACAAGTGAAACCTACACAGTTAAATGTCTTTTAATAGAGAGCTAAAAGCATTAAGTTCTATCATACTCAACATACTGATGAAGAAAATTTAAACTAAAAGACAGCCTGATCTTTAGAAACTGGCAGAAAAAATAGGGCTGCATCCAAGACCACTCACAGCAAGTCCATTCCTCCAACAGCTCCCAATTGCTATTTCATGGAAAGTCCAAATTACCCACCCCAAGGTCCTAGAATACAGCCAGCTCCCTACCATCAAAAGCAATAGTCACCGAAACTTACTAAAATTAGGCTTGTTATGAAGAAAAGAGTGAAGAAATAAAGGCATTTATTTCATCTTGTTATTTGAATGTGAAAACTCCCAGTAGGGTAAGAAAAAAGAATTCTGCCAGAGAAATGATGAAGTGAAACCTCAAACAATTTGGGCTTTTGAGTGCCTACTGTCATCCAGCCATGAAATGGCTTTTTACACAAGCATTTTACATAAGTAATTTAAGCCCAATGATGCAGGCAGTAGGTATCATCTCCATTTTAAGATGAGGAAATTGAGACAGACGAGATTACCTAACTGTCAAGGTTTCACCGCAGAGCTGTGGTTCAAACCCACATGCTCTAGTTTTACTGCAGTTAAGAAACTGCAAGGGTTTGCCAAGTTGTCAAGTGCCAGTCCAAGATAAATGGATGCTCTGAGTATCAAAAAATATATATAATCTGCAGATCGAAACACGAAGACACAAACATCTAAGAGTCACCATGGGAGTTGCTGGGGCATCCAGTGGTTTCTCTGAAAATCTATGAAGGAAAAGAATAAAGCATTTTTCCAGCCTTTCTTGTACAAACTATATTTCAGGGAAACCAAATATTTGATGAAGGAATTCTTTGTTTAGAAAGATTTTAGCTAATAAATGCAGAGGAATAACAAGATTTAGGAGGGGAAAAAAATCACCATTTTATAACTTCTAATAAAATAATGGGTTTAGGCAATAGCTTTCAACGGATGCTAAAATGATTAGGTGAAAAGTTGATGGAGAATTTTAATTCAGGGGAATTAAGCTGATATCACCTGAAATCATTTGGCATCACTAAAAATGTGACAAGCTGGTGGCTGCCAGGGAGTGGGGGGACTGGGTTGGGGGAAGCAACAGGAGTTACAGTTTACGGGTACAAAGTTTCAGTTTCACAAGATGAAAATAGTTGCAGAAATGAATAGCGGTGATGGCTACAGAACATTATGACTGACTATACACTTAACAATGTTTAAGATCGAGCTGGGTGCAGTGGTGCACACCTGTAGTCCCAGTTATGCAGGAGGCTGAGGCAGGAGAATCACTTGAGCCCATGAGTTCGAGACCAATCTAAGTAACATATAGAGACCTCATCTCACAAAAACATCACTACCACAAAACAAAACAAAACCAAAAAAAAAAAGCTTAAGATGCTAAATTTTAAGTTATGTGTATTTTACCACAATAAAAAAATAATGAGGTTGGGTGCAGTGGCTCATGCTTGTAATCCCAGCACCTTGGGAGGCAGAGGTAGGTGGACCACAAGGTCAGGAGTTTGAGACTGGCCTGGCCAATATGGTGAAACCCCGTCTCTACTAAAAATACAAATAAACTAGCCGGGCGTGGTGGCTCACGCCTGTAGTCCCAGCTACTCAGGTGGCTAAGGCAGGAGAATTGCTTGAACCCAGGAGGCCAGGGTTGCAGTGAGCCGAGATTACACCACTGCACTCCAGCCTGGGCAATAGAGGGAGACTCCGTCTCAAAAAAAAAAAAAAAAAAAAATTAAAACATCGTTACCCAGCAATTCCACTTCTAGGCATATACCCAAAGAACTCAAAGCACGGACTCAAACAGATACTTGGACATGAATGTTCACAGCAACATTATTCATAATAGCCAAAAGGCAGAAGCAACTCAAGAGTCCATCAACAGATGAATGGATAAACAAAACGTGGTATATCCGTACAATAGAATATTATTCAGCCATTAAAAGAATTAAGTTCTGATACATACTACTGCATAGATGAACCTTGAAAACACTGTATTAAGTGAAAGAGGCCAGGCGGCTGAACTTCGAAAGACTAATATACAATTCCACTGAATAGGCAAATTCATAGAGAGAGAGTAGAATAAAGGTTACTAAGGGTTGGGAGAGAGGGGAATGGGCAGTTATGGCTTAATGCATACAAAGTTTCTGTTGGGGATGATGAAAAAATGGTGGAAATGAACAGTGGTAAAGGTTATAAAACACGGTGAATGCACTTAATGCCACTGAATTGTATACTTAAGAATAAACTTGTAATTTTTATATTATGTATATTTTGCCACGATAAAAATTTTAAAAAAATGTTTAAGTGTGACAACCGAACTTCTGTATTAGGATAGGAAGAATACTTATGAAGTATTCTTGCCTCTGAAATGAACCAGAATCTAATCAAGTCTCTAGAATAAACAACCAGTTCACAGGAAATCCACAGACAGCCAAGCAAGTTAGACGGCACCATAATAAAGTAATCAGCCAAATCCAGAATGTGGAATAAACAGTTAACAACCAAAAAAAAAAAAAAAAGGGGGAGGCCAGGCGAGGTGGCTCACACCTATAGTCTCAGCACTTTGGGGGGTCAAGGTGGGCAGATGCTTGAGCCCAGGAGTTTGAGACCAGATTGGGCAACATGGTGGAAAACCCATCTCTACAAAAAGTATAAAAAAATTTGCTAGATGTGATGGTATGCACCTGTGGTCTCAGCTATCTGGGAGGCTGAAGTGAGAGGATCGCTTGACTCCAGGAGGCAGAGGCTGCAGTGAGCCGAGATTGTGCCACTGCACGAGACCCTGTCTCTAAAATAAAATAAAATAAAATAAGGAAAACAAAAGGCATAGAAAAAGAACAACTGCTGTAGAATAAAAGACTAAAGAAGCAAAACAACAAAATGCACTGTGTGAACTTTGATCCAGATGCAAACAAAGCAGATGTAGAAAAGATACTTTTTTTTTTTGAGATGGAGTCTTGCCCTGTTGCCAAGGCTGGGGTGCAATGGTGCGATCTTAGCTCACTGCAACCTCCACCTCCCGGGTTCAAGAGAATATCCTGTCTCAGCTTCCCGAGTAGCTGGGATTGCAGGCACACACCACCATGCTTGGCTAATTTTTTTGCATATTTTTAGTAGAGATAGGGTTTCACCAGGTTGGCCAGGCTGGTCTCCAACTCTTGACCGCAGGTAATCCACCAGCCTTGGCCTCCCAAAGTGCTGGGATTACAGGTGTCAGCCACCACACCCAGCCAGGATACATTTGATACAACTGGGGGAATTAGAATAGGGACTAGGTGCTAGATATTAAAGAATTAGTATTAATTTTGGAGATGTTATAATGGCATGGAGATTTACATATATATGTATATAAAAGGCCTTATCAGTTGGAAACGAACACTAAAGGATGTATGAATAAAAGGCATCATGTCTGAGATGGGCAAAATGCTAATAACTTTTGAGGCTTGGTGATGGGTACGTGGGGGTTCGTTATGTTGTCTTCTCTGTCTTTGTATTTGTTTTAGATTTTCCGCTAAAAAAGTTAAAAAAAATAAATGCACTACTTTGAGAAAAAACATTCTAAAAGCTATAGCCTGGAAAAGCTAACTGCAAATAGAGTTAATTGCCAAAGGTAACAGCTAAAACAATGATATAAAATATAGAGGGACAGTCGACTAGGGTGTTTAGTCGGGAAAGACTGACGAATGTGTGAGTCTTTACTACCAAGTACATGCAGGAGAACCTTCAAAACGAACAGACTCCAAATAAATTCTAAAATGAGTAATTTGTAGATTCCATATGGTTAATATTTTACATGAAAATCAGGGTGTAAAAACTATAGTCAGCCCTCTGTATCCACAGTTTCAACCCACCTTGAACCAAAAATATTAAAAAGTAATAATGCAGGCCGGGCACGGTGACTCACGCCTGTAATCCTAGAACTTTGGAGGCTGAGGCGGGTGGATCACCTGAGGTCGGGAGTTCAAGACCAGCCTGACCAACATGGAGAAACCCTGTCTCTACTAAAAATACAAAATTAGCCGAGCGTGGTGGTGCATGCCTGTAAT